TGCGTTTGCTTCTGCTTTGAAATTTGAACTGTCATTGGGTGATCTGGAAGATATTGTTTTGGACCTAATGACAGTGGCACAAGCCACTGCGGCACCATCCTTGGACCCATCTGTAATAAGAACTTATATGTATCATATTTACTTTTGAATTCATTATATTCTTGTTTATCTTGTAAGTCATTAGTTTCGGATTTCTTCAACTTTGTCAGAGTTAGGTCAACTTCAGGCCTAACCAATTGCCAAGGAGGAGAAGAAAGCAAACGGCAAGGAGATATGTTTTCTAGCTCAATGCCAGCAGCAGAAAGGTAAGGTTTGACTCTTAGTCCAAGAGGCGGAACAAGAGAAGACTTTTTATTGTATAGACCCTCATAAACAGGATTAAAAACACGGTTAAATGCAGGATTTGAGTCATTAGAATATAGTTTTATTACATATTGCAAGGATCATTTTATACGGCGTTGTGTAAGAGATGGCTCATCGGCCTCGTTCATTCCAATATCAAATGTTCTCGTCACGATATGACTGAAATATTGCCGATGTGACGTTAAATATTAACTCACTCACTCACTCACTCATCGGCCTCGACGTAGAGACTATCAACAGGAGAGGTTCTAAAGGACCCAAGACAAAAGTCTTAGTCCTTGGTGGTGGATAGAATCTAATAGTTTTAAGTTACTTGTGTAGGCTCCACCATAAACAATGGAACCATAATCAAGTTTGGAACGTACCAGTGATCGATATAGATGTAGGAGGGTAGCTTGATCCCCTCCACCCTTAGAATTGGAAACGACTTTCAACAAGTCAAGTGCCTTCAGGCATTTAGTTTTAAGTGCTTTAATATGTGGTACTAACGTTAGGTGCGAGTCAAAAATAATACCCAAGAACTTGGCCTCCTTCACAAAATTAATGGGTGTGCCATTTACAGATAGTTCAGAGTCTTTGTGTTGTTTGTATTTACAGAGAAATGTATACAATTAGTTTTGGATTTAGAAAAGTTAAAGCCGTTTTCAAGACACCATTTATTATTTTGTATAAACACAACTGTAGTAACGGTTTAATAGTATGCATATTTTACCACGACAAGAACTATTATAATCATCCACAAAAAGTGATCCATCAATTGAATCATTTAAAATCTTGGATAAACTGTTGATCTTGATACTAAACAATGTGACAGACAAAATACTGCCTTGCGGGACTCCCTGATCCTGATTGTAATGATCAGACAGGGTGAAACCCACTCGAACTTGAAATTGCCTGTCTTTTAAAAGGTTGGATATAAATTGAGGCAAACGGCCTCGCAAACCAAAATCATGTAAATCTTTTAAAATCCCATGTTTCCATGTCGTGTCGTATGCTTTTTCTAAATCGAAAAAGATCGACACTGCATGTTGTTTATTAATTATGGCATTCTTAACAAAAGATTCTAAACGCACTAAATGATCGATAGCACTTTTGTTTTACGGAAAGCACATTGTATATATGTTATTAGGTTACCTGGGTCAAGACAGAAAAACAGTATTTTCATCCAGAAAACCTACTTCCCAACCCACAAAACCTACTGCCTTGGTCACTCTGTGGACGTCTGGGTCTCAGACGGATATTCAGCCTGAGACGTCACAAACCATTGCTTCACAACGAACAACTTCACTGGCAGCCACCGATTCATCAAAAAAGAAGAAAGGAAAACAAATTAAATAGAAACACCCCATCTACTAACTCTTCACCTTCTGAGGAAATGCCTTTAGAGGTTCATAACACCTATGAACCTCTAGATATGGACACAAGCCCCTCACAGCCATCTCAGCATAAAGGGACTTCGTCTCGTCCACGTTCTCCTATTGTACCCCCATGAGTTGCTCACATAATGTTATACAATGGAATTGCAGTGGCCTTAGAAACAATTTTAATGATTTACAATTATTATCCCAAGATTATAAACCATCAGCTTTTAGTTTACAGGAGACATACCTGAAAAGTACGGATAACTTTGAGTTTCGTCAGTACAATTCATTTCATTCGTTTTCACCCCCATGTGATAAAGCCACTGGTGATGCTTCTATTTTGGTGAGGCAGGGTGTTATTCATAGCCCTGTCCCTCTTAAAAGCAATCTTCAGGCTGTTACTGGCCGTCTTTCTTTACAAATAACCTTCACGCTCTGTTCTTTGTTCCTTTCTCCATCTTTGGCTCTTCAGCAGTCCGATCTGCAGGATCTATTCGACCAGCTTCCCAAACCCTGTATTATCGTGGGTGATCTTAATGAACACAACCCTTTGAGGGGAAGTACCGATACTAACAACAAAGGGAAAATCATCGAAGACTTCTTTTCTAATAATATTTATGCATCTTAAATGATGGATCAGCCACTTATTTACATCCTGGTTTTGGAACGTATTCTGCACTTGATCTGTCTCTCACAGATCCAAATATATATAACGAATTTGAATGGTCAGTCCATGAAGACCTGTGTGGAAGTGACCATTTCCCCAGAATACTTTCATCTATAAACCCGCATGATGATCCACCTGCAACAAGGTTGAATTTTAATAAGGCCAACTGGCCATGATTTCAAAAACTGTGTACTGACAACTTGAAATCTGACTTTTTTAACAATGCTCTAGATCCGATTCAATTCTCTTGTAAACTGATGAATATTGCTGATGAAACTATTCCAAACTCCTCTGCAATTCCACATATCCGTAAACCATGGTTTAATGATGACTGTAAACAGGCCAGAAAGAGTAGGAAGAAGGAAGAAAAATATTTTCACCGACATCCTACTGTCCATAATTTCAATAAAGTTAAACTTTTAAATGCCAAGGCTCTACGCACCTTTAAACAGAATAAACGTCAGTCTTGGCGAAACTATGTTTCCAAAATAAATTCACGCACACTTATTTTAAAGGTGTGGAACATGATTCAACGAATAAAAGGCAAAGGTTCCAAATCTACTGTCCACCACCTGAAGGATGGTAACAATGTATTGACGGATAAGGCTGACATTGCCAATAAGGTTGGTGAAACTTTTGCCAAGCATTCGTCTTCATCAAATTATGTCCCGGAGTTTCAGAAACATCAGAAATAACAGGAGAAGAACAGAATAAATTTTAACTCGGACAATGCTGAAGATTATAATGAATTATTTGCACTGTATGAGTTATATACCGCCCTTGAGCAAGCACATGATACAGCAACAGGAGCTGATAACATACACTATCAGCTGTACCTAAGTATTTACCTGAATCGTGTTTGGAAACACTTCTAAATATCATTGATCAAATATGGACTTTAGGGAAATTTCCCAACTCCTTGGCGTAATGCCATTGTTTTCCCAATACCAAAGTTCTGGCCGGGATCATACTGATCCATCATATTACAGACCAATCTCTCTAACTAGCTGTGGCGTAATGCCTTTGTAGTCCCATTACCAAAATCTGGCAGGGATCATACAGATCCGTCGAATTACAGACCAATATATCTAACTAGCTGTGTTTGTAAAACCATGGAACGAATGGTAATCAATAGATTAACATTGTATCTTGAAACCAATAACCTTATAACAGATATATAATGTGGTTTCAGAAAAAATCGTAGTACCACTGATCATTTGGTACGATTGGAATCCTTTGTTAAAAATGCTCTAATAAATAACCAACATGCAGTATCGATATTCTTTGATCTCGAGAAAGCATATGATACCACCTGGAAGCATGGCATTTTAAAGGATTTACATGATTTTGGTTTAAGGGGTCGTTTACCTCTTTTTATATCACAGTTTTTAACAGATAGGCAATTTCAAGTCCGAGCGAGTAGGTTCAACCTTGTCTGACCATTACAATCAGGATCAGGGTGTCCCAAGAGATAGTATTTGTCTGTAACATTGTTTAGCATTAGGATCAACAGTTTATACAAGGCTTTAAATGATTCAATTGATGGATCACTTTTTGTGGATGATTTTAATATTATCTTGTCGCGGTAAAATATGCTTACTTTTGAACGGCAACTGCAGTTGTGTTTAAACAAAATATATAACTCGTGTTTTGAAAACGGCTTTAAATTTTCGAAATCAAAAACTAATTGCATACATTTCTGCCGTAAATATAAGCCACATATATAAGGCACACCCATCAAAGTTGTAAAGGAGACCATGTTCTTAGGTCTGATTTTCGACTACCCTCCTTCACCTATATAGATCATTGGTCCTCTCCAAGCATGATTGTGGCTTCATTGTCTATGGTGGAGCCTCTAACAGCAACCTCAAACTATTAGATTCTGTCCACCATCAAGGCCTAAGACTTTGTCTTGGGTCCTTCAGAACATCTCCTATTGACAGTCTCTACGTCGAGGCCGAAGAGCCATCTCTTGCACAACGCCGTGTAAAATTATCATTACAATATATTACAAACTTATATTCTAACGAATCTAACCCTGCTTTCAACTTTGTCTTCAATCCTCTCTATGAGGATTGATACAACATGAAATCTCCCACTTGTTCCGCCTCATGGGCTCAGAATTAAAACATTTATTTCTGCTGCTGGCAATGCTCTTGAAACTATATCTCCTTCACGTCTTCTTTCTTCTCCTCCTTGGCAACTGGTTAGGCCAGAAGTTGACCTAACACTGACAACATTTAAAAAATCAGAAACTAATGACTTACAATATAAACAAGAATTTAATCAATTACAAAGTAAATATTATACATACAAATCCTTATTTACAGATGGGTCCAAGGATGGTGGTGCAGTGGTTTGTGCCACTGTCATTGGATCCAAAACAATATCTTCTTGCATAACAGCTCTATTTTTACAGCAGAAGCAAACGCCATATTAACAGCCTTAAAATATATTAAAAACACCCCAAATACAAACAATATATAATCTTTTCAGACTCTCTTTCGTGCCTTGAGGCTATTAAAATCTTTCTTGCAAACATCCACTTTTGATAGAAATTATTGAATTATATAATGATCTTGCTACTGGCCAATACGACATCGTCCTCCGTTGGTTACCCAGCCACGTTGGCATTTCTGGGAATACAATGGCCGATCTTGCTGCTAAGGCAGCGCTCAACGAATCTGTGACACCTCTTCTTATTCCATACTCTGAATATAAAGCTGTCATCAGATCGTTTATCCCTGATCTAATGCAGAAGAAGTGGGTAGGTCGGTATCAATATATTACATGAAATAAAACCCTATATTGCTTACACCTACTTACGTGAAACAAAACCCCATACTTGGGTTGTCAGTCCAGATTTGAAGAGGTCACCATACATCGATGTCGTATTGGCCACATAAGATATACTCATGAGTACCTATTGAAAGGTGAGGATGATCCGTTTTGTATCCCTTGTGATGAAAGAATCACGGTCAAGCATGTCCTGCTTGACTGTGTTGAATATTTCATCACAAAGGATATCTATTTCAAATCACGAACTATGAAGGATCTTTTTAATAATGTCAGTTCTCATTTAATTATTGCATTTAAAAAAAAATAGATTTGTTAAATGATTTGTAAATAGATAAATATTTTATGATTGGAAGTTTTAATTAATAACTCAGATTATTAGTGGATGTACCCTCAAGGGGGTTAAAATGTTGTAAAATTATTGTCCTCCTGAGAGGGTACGTAAGTTCCAAAACTCTCAAAGTAAATTTCAAACTTACCTGGATTTTAAGCGTAGAATTTTTGTGATTTTAATTATGGCTAAATTTGACTAAAATCGCCGGCTGCTGAAGGGATGATGTGAATCCAACTAGGATCCATGTAGGTAGCAAAGGTACTGTAAGTCCCCATGGTCCTTAGTATGGTGATCAACCTTCAGTTGCTGGTGATCAATAGCCCGTTCTTATATTGTACTGTTGTCTCTCGTGATATATTTTTATGAAAGCGAACTAGTTCTAGATTAAGAGCTGTGATGTTCTTCTGATAGTTTACTGTCCTTCGATGACAGGTTTTTACGTAATACATTTGTTGATTTGAATATTGATATCAACTGTTCTCGTCACGATATGGCTGCGATATTGCCCATGTGAGGTTAAATTTTAAATCACTCACTCACTCATATGTCACTCACTCACCAACTGCGTTCACCACGTCAGACGTTGCTGCCTGTGCGTATCGGCGAGGAAAGGACTTCTAATCGGAAGACCACCACTCAGTCTCCTTTACGTTTTGCCAGACGAATTTGGATTTGGTCCTCTTGGTCATTGGTGTTTGTCAGTGGTCTCAGTGTTGCAGGTCTTGGACAACCCTTTTCATTACAGGTGTCCACGTCCTTCCTCACCAATCGATAATAACCATGTGGTTTATGTTTAAGTTAGTACCGATGTTGCGAGATGCTGTCGTGATAATTTGCCCTCGTAGTTGTTTTTCGTATTGTCACGTCACTAAAGGATACATTTTTACCGTCGTCTTTTACATTATTTCACAAACCTGTAATGTACATTCTGCAAATAGAACTATTTTTACCCCAATGTGCTTGGAGCCTTCACATCACGTGAGCAAGCGACCTATAGCATTTGAGATATTGCATGGATTACGTGATTAACATTTGCACTCCTGTATGTTAGGGTTTGATCACCTGTTCCAACAATATGTTTAGTATTGCCCTTGGATTTAGGTACGCCTTTATTAATCTTCAGAAGTATAATGATTTCAAACCTAAATGCGTATTGTAGCTTTGTAGACATTTAAAATGTTCTTGATAAGGTTACTGTGCACAAATTAATGTTTGTCATGGTTCATAAATGGTGCTGTAGATAGTTTGACTATGGTATAAGTAATAAGCATTACTGAAGCGTTTGGTGTTAGTGAATTGTTTGAATTGTTTAGAATCGTACAGTAAGGAGGCCAAACGTCTATAATAGAGAGATAAGAATTCAAATTACGGTGGTGGCATTTTGTATCGTATGAAATGTTAAATGTTACATCTTTGTGGTATAGTTAACGATATTATTGGTATTTGATAACAATTGAGGTTATATATGTGATAAGACCATCTATTCTAGTGATTATAAAATATCATTTATTTATTTATACTAGCCAGATAAAGAAACTGTGCACACAGAAAATTCCTTTAGAATTGGAATACAACACAGAAAAGACGAATGATGTGGACACTTTATAAGCTGAAGTATCGGGCCACAACAACATGTTAAAGAACATGAACAATATCCGTAACGATGACGTCAGAAGTTCAAAATTGAGTAGGGGGTCACACGTCGAAGTCACAAAGTCAATAACGGGTATGACCATCATGCGCGTGAAGCACAGCAGTGCATCGACGACGCATAGAGACTACCAAATGAGCGTTGAAGGCCTGGGGAATGTTTGGGACGTGGTCACTGCCGTCTGGAACCTGTGTCTGAGATGTCACCCGAATCCATCTGTCCTGTCTTGGCGTCGTTACTCGGGGACGCCCAGAACGTGGGTGGTCGGGAAATCATTACTGTTTCCATAACGCCTGACCAATGCAGATATCGTGTTACAATGATATTGGAAATGCGCTGCCACTTGTTGTTGGCCCATGCCTGCTCGAACCATTCCAATGGCTTCATGACGTTGAGCAGATGTTCATCTTGGCATGGTGTGTATGTGACTTCTCATGTGAATTTGTGAACGTTTGAATGACCAAAGATCAAGCTTTCGACAGTGACAGCAATTTCTGAGTTTCACATGCTGTGTACAGTTCCACAGGCTGTACGTGCAGCAACACATTGCAAGTCCATAGGTCACCATCAATGACGTCACGTCGCCGTTTTTGTGTGCACAGTTTTTTTATGTGGCCAGTTTACAAAAAATATAAATCAACATTTTTCAGTAAATTCTATTTCTTTTAAAAACTCAGGGATTAAATGATTATTAATATTAGTAGAAAGGTCCTTATATGTTTTGACATTGACATATTTATCCCTTGTGATGGAAAAATCAATAGAGTGAAGCAGGACATGTGATTCTTTCACCACAAGGGATACAAAACGGAGGATCCTCACCTTTGAACAAGTGTTCATGACTTATTTGATTGGCCTTCTAGGCGTTTAGGAGATTAAGAATGATGACAATTTCTGTTGATATACAACTTCTTTATTCTGTATCGGCGACGTTTCGACATATATTCTAATGTCGTTGTAAAGCTTAACATTGTGCAGGGTCAGACGAACTGCTACATTCTGCAGACTGGTACTAAGAGGAACAGGGCTATGTATTATACCCTGTCGTACCAAAATAGCAGCACCTCCAGTTGCTTTATCTCCTGGAGGAGAAAAGGAGTGATTACCACTGCATTGTCTTAAAGTAAAGTTGTGTGTAGGTTTTATGTTTTATGTATGTCTCTTGGAGACATATTGCTGACGGCTGAAAATCTTGTATCAGAAATTGTATCTCATTAAAGTTATTTTCATAGTAGCAGTTATTGAGTCATGGCACTTCAATTGGTGGGTGTGAGGAGGATATATACCTCCGCCTGTACCGTGAGGACGGAGTAACCTTCACATCTGAAGGTCCACATGTATTTTCAAGAGGTCTCTCTGGGGGTGAGGGGACAACAGGTAGTTTGTCTCTATTAATCTTGTTTCCTTGCTGCTTTTTTATTTGTCCATGGTTGGTTGTGAAACAGACGTGTGTGATGAATATTCAGGTGCAGTCATATATGACAAGTTGTTTTCTGATTTTCAATGTAAGTCAGACAAAAGGAGGATACAATGCCATACGGTTGAACGTGTACACGATCGCATTTATTTCTACAGTGCCTTGTACTGTCATCCTACGACAGATGCAATGCAAAGAAACGACTCAGAAACACTATTCAATATACGTGTTTATTTGTTTGTTGCAATGTTAGATCTGTGTTTGTTTGATGTTTAAGGCCTCAAGTCAAGTCAATTCATCGAGCCTGGACCAGACAATCCATGATCAACTTCATGAGCATCGATCAACGCAGTTGAGATACGATATGATATGATAAAGCTTTTCTATCAATGTTTCGCTACTGATGGTCCATTTAAATCATTCCAGTTATTTGAAGTAGATATGTTGAGGAGTGTATTGATGAATGGTGCTTGTCCCTACTATAACTTCTACAGGTAGTGGTCACAACCTCCACATGGGTGGCACTGTAGGCAAGGCACTCGTGCTATGGTTTCTAAATTGGTAAATGTGGAGTTAAATCAAAGTTAGTCACTCGCGCTGCACAAGAGCCTCTGGTTGGAAAGAGAATCTAATTTCTCCAAAGTTTAGATGTCTAATACAAGTTGCATTGTTAACCATAATTGGTCAACGTAAATCTGTAAAGAATTCATTTTATAAAATGAACAAAATACAATGTAATTATGTAACGTATTTCATAACCCTTTTTCTAAAACAATAGAATAGACACAAATATCAACTTTACATAGAAATAGTGGAACTACGCAGGATGACGATTGACAAAGTTCCAATCCATCGCATATTCATCTCCTTACTGCTTTTGTGAAGAAATCTTTCTTAAATCTAAACACGAACTACATCCACCTCCTCTTCTGTGGTACTTCACTAAAATGCCACCTTGCCTGGAAGAACGTCCCTGAGAATAATTAGAAGATAATTGAGGTAGTATGTATCTTCTGTCATCCATCAGTTTCGTGTGAGATAAATCGTCTAAAAAACACACAAGCGAAAAGTCAAGCTTTACGGTGATAATGGGACAACGAATCTTTCAACAGAATATGTTGAACCTATTCATGCGTTATATTTTGCCATTTCTCTATTTTTTATATTATATCATGAAGTAATGCTTGAATGTAGGTGGAGGCTTGTTTACACATTTGTTGCTGCTAAAGCTGCACTCAGCAATATTCCGTCAAAATGAGGACGGTGAGTAAATAACTAAGTCTAGGCCGTACAGTCCAGAACATAATGATTGTAAGGAAGCGAAAGCATTAATTCCTCACCTCGGCACAGTATGTGAAATTTGATATGTGGTGTCGCAGTAAATGTGGCAAAATACAATACCCGTGAAGAGCCACCTCCTCTTGGTGGGTGCTGGATAACGCAAAGAGCTCTTCAACGCCTGAATTGGCAACCCGTTTGTCGTGGGTTGGGCCCC